GGAAGAGATTTCAGTTACTGGGCTTTTAAAAGGAATGGCAATATCCATTGCAGTCGGGTGATGTGTATTAAGCATAAACTTAACTTTTATGCTGTATTAATTTTACACATTTACTGAATTCCTACTGAGTGCTATGTACTGTAGGATAGTTCTTGTACCCAGGGAGCTTATAAGTTTACAGGGAAGATACAAGACGAGGTAGGAAGAGTACTGAGACTTCCGAAGTCATATCTGAGAATGAGGTAGATCTTTGGGTAGGAAAAAGATTTCAGTAAATATAGATGGCGAGGAGGTGGGTAGGTGATGAGAAAAAGCTTAACATTACAAATATAATATGTTGGTACCATGTGAATGGAATGGTGAATAAGCCAGCTTGTTCAAAATTACCTTTGAATTAGCTCCTCTCTATGCAGTTTAAAAACATCAGAGAAACACGCTTAAAGAAAATTTCATAAAAAAACATGATCCCCTCAAAGGAGCTTACATGCATATACCTATTTTAGGGAAAATGTAGTCATTCAGCGTATAACAAGCTTTATTATAACACGGTAATTTTCCAGTTTGGGTTTGATGAATTCGTAGAGCTCATTAAGTGTAAGTGACATTATTTGATCCATTCAAGCTTTCTTCTCTCTTCAGAAGATTAAAAAAAAAATTATAAATTATTCCAAATTTGAATCTAGGACTTGAAAAATACCAGTTGTCTAAATACAGTATCATATTCTGATAAATATAGCTACTGAAATTTAAAAAATGTCTTTACAAAACTTCATCTTAATATTCATATCAGAACTTTTTTTGGAATGTTATCTGAAAAACAGGGCCATTTTATTATCAGAGCTGACTATTAATTAGGGTATTGTTTCAGATATAGAAGTTGATCTGCCACTGAAATTCTATTTGAATATGTATAGTTCTAAGCTTGCTTTGTGTATTTAATAACTTTAGTACCATAATTACTCTGTTTACAATTAAATTTTGGTGAATATGCTAATAGGGAGTATAGCACCTACATTTTCTAAAGTATTAGATAATTTATCCATTGTGTTTGTTCTTATTACCTGTCTCTGTTAGAATACAAGTGTCAAAAGGGCAGGACCTTTGTTTTGTTTCTTTGCATAGCAAGTGCTTAGAATAGTAGTGCTTGACACATGGCAGATTATCAATAAATACCTGTTGAGAGAGTGAATGAACGAACTGTTATTCTTCATAAATTCACATACTTCACAGTTAAGCTTTACTTAATGTGACAACTAGTAGATTTATGTATTTAGCACCTGTAAGAACAACTTTTGAAATAATACCACTGGTGATTCTTTTCCAGCTGTGTATGTTGAGGGGTGTAGGGGTGACTCCATAATCACCAGGAGTGTATTGGTACTGCTTTGATTCAACTCAGTTTCTATGTCTGTTTTGTGTTTATAAACTCTTTTCTTCTTTTAATTGTGAGGAAAAACACATAACAATATTTACCATCTTAACCATTTTTGATGTACAGTTCAGCGGTGTTACGTTCACATTGTTGTATAGCCAATCTCCAAAACCCTTTTCGTCTTGCAAATGTGAAACTTTACCCATTTAACAACTCCCCTTTTCCCTCTCCCCCACTCCTAGCACCATTGTACTTTGTTTCTATGAATTTGACTACTGTAGATGTTAGATACCACATGTAAGTGAAACCATACAGTATTTCTCTTATTGTAACTTGCTTATTTCACTTAGTATAATGTCCTCAAGATTCATGCATGTTGTAGCATGTGTCAGAATTTCCTACTTTTTTAAGGTGGAATAATATGGCGTTGTGTGACCCCCTCCCCCCCCCCACACACGCACCACATTTCGTTTATTCATTCATGTGTTGGATGGACACTGGGGTTCTTCCACCTTTTGTCTATAGGGAATAGTGCTATTGTGAACATGGGTGTGCAGATATCTCTTTGAGACTGTAAATTCTTCTTGAGATCTGTTAACAAAAAGGGATAAACATATCAGTTATGTTTTCAGTATATGCCTCCATCTTAATTTTAAAGCTCTTAATTTTATTTCCAAGATCTTTATTTGCAAAGATCTTAATCTTATTTAGCGGCATTTTTTAATGCAATTTATTCTCATATAATAAAATTTGTATTTTGCTATAAACTGTGGAAGTATAGGTGGGTTTTTTTTTTTTTTTAACATGCTACAATCCTGGAAAATGCCATCAAAAAGTGGAACAAACTCCTTGAAAGAACAAGCTGCTATTCATTGCTGTATTTCCCAACTTATCTAGACTGTGAGTGACCTAAAATGTAGAATGAAAAACAGGATCGTATTGTGACAGCAAAGGAAGGGAATGTTTCCAGAAAAAAGGGATGAATGGTAGTGTTGAGTGCTGCTGAGTAGGCAAATGAGAATTCAGAATGTCATTTGGACTTAGTGCCTTAGTGAGAGTAGTTAGAGTGGGTCATGAAGTTGGAGTCCAGATGAAGTTGTGGAGTGAGGAGAGAGGAAATGTTACTATGTACGCACACTTACTGAGCCATGTGGGCTTAAAAAACTTTTTTTTTTTAATTGATGAGCCATGAGCATATTTAAAAAAGCTGATGGGAAAGATCCAGTTGAGGGAGATGTTGAATATATGAGAGAAGGCTTAATTAATAATAAAGTCCTAAGAAGGTTGGAGGGGATGAGATACAAGCAAAGGGGAGGGGCCGTGTGTGATAGGGAAGGACAACTTTCCTCAGTTGTGATGGAGAGAAGGGCTGTAGGATGAATGCAGAGTGGGGCTTGCAGGGGTGCAGGTGGTTTGTTTGTAGGTTTGGATCTTAGGATGATAAAGGGAATTCTACTGCAAGGTTCTGTTTTCTTTCTAAATTTGGAGATGAGGTCATCTATTGAAAATTATGAGTTTGGAAGGGGAATTACAGTTTTAATAAACTTTCAGGGTTTGAATAAACAGGGTTGGACATTGTCATTGTAGAGAGTCGGAAGAGATTTCAGTTACTGGGCTTTTAAAAGGAATGGCAATATCCATTGCAGTCGGGTGATGTGTATTAAGCATAAACTTAACTTTTATGCTGTATTAATTTTACACATTTACTGAATTCCTACTGAGGGCTGTGTACTGTAGGATAGTTCTTGTACCCAGGGAGCTTATAAGTTTACAGGGAAGATACAAGACGAGGTAGGAAGAGTACTGAGACTTCTGAAGTCTTATCTGAGAATGAGGTAGATCTTTGGGTAGGAAAAAGATTTCAGTAAATATGGATGGCGAGGAGGTGGGTAGGTGATGAGAAAAAGCTTTACATTACAAATATAATATGTTGGTACCATGTTAATGGAATGGTGAATAAGCCAGCTTGTTCAAAATTACCTTTGAATTAGCTCCTCTCTATGCAGTTTAAAAACATCAGAGAAACACGCTTAAAGAAAATTTCATAAAAAAACATGATCCCCTCAAAGGAGCTTACATGCATATACCTATTTTAGGGAAAATGTAGTCATTCAGCGTATAACAAGCTTTATTATAACACGGTAATTTTCCAGTTTGGGTTTGATGAATTCGTAGAGCTCATTAAGTGTAAGTGACATTATTTGATCCATTCAAGCTTTCTTCTCTCTTCAGAAGATTAAAAAAAAAAATTATTAATTATTCCAAATTTGAATCTAGGACTTGAAAAATACCAGTTGTCTAAATACAGTATCATATTCTGATAAATATAGCTACTGAAATTTAAAAAATGTCTTTACAAAACTTCATCTTAATATTCATATCAGAACTTTTTTTGGAATGTTATCTGAAAAACAGGGCCATTTTATTATCAGAGCTGACTATTAATTAGGGTATTGTTTCAGATATAGAAGTTGATCTGCCACTGAAATTCTATTTGAATATGTATAGTTCTAAGCTTGCTTTGTGTATTTAATAACTTTAGTACCATAATTACTCTGTTTACAATTAAATTTTGGTGAATATGCTAATAGGGAGCATGCCAGTGAGTGATTTCAGCAAAGGGCGGCGTTGGTTGGCGCCTGGATGTGCTCATCACTTGCATCTGCGTTTCATCTGGTATCAAGGGGAAAGAAGTGGTCAGACTAATGGATTGTGTGATGATAAAGTTTTTCTTTTCTTAGATCACTCTCTGTTGGATTAGCTACCATAATAGTGGATTTGTTTTGCCCTAAAGTGGGCAGGAATTATGCCAAAAGATTTAATTTGGGCGGGGTGTGTGCTGCCAGTGTATTCTTTTATGGAAACCTGATGTAGTATTAGCTTCATTATTAGGAAAAAACCTATAATGTACTAAAGCGATTGTTTAATTCAAGTTAGTATTTTAAGTTCTTTAGAAAATTCACTAACTTTTACTGAGGCAAATGCTTGTGGTTCTGTTATTACAGTTTTTGGGCAGGGACTTTTGGTTTTAAATAATTCTCTTTTCTTTTCAGAAATCACCTGGAAAGGAACAAGGCGATTGAGAAACCCAGATTTCGTATTTTCTGAAATTGGAGACTTCTGTAGCCCTGAACCAGAAAATAAGAGGTGCTGCTGGATGCAGTGGTCAGCTGGGGCGTGGGAGGATGCTGGGAGGGGCATTTTTGGGGCGAAGACACAGATCTCAGTGCTGCGGAGCAGTGTTCCTCAGTAGCATACCCTGAGGGCCACAACCAGTGAGTCTTTGTTTGGAAGAGTAGAAAAGGGCACTAGGGAACTTTGTGGTGTGATCTCGGTCCAGGTGGTTGTTACTCAGGTGTATATGCATCTGTAAGAATTGATCAGTCTGTGTATACACTCGTGCAGGTCAGTTTGGTGCCTCTGAACTCCAAATTCACCATTGAATTTGCTCTGATTCTGATACTTGAACTAGACCCTGCAAACATTTTTTTCCTTCCAGCATGATGTTAGGTTGTGTCAATAGAGGGCAAGTGAGGGATGCTGCAAGGCCTAGTGGTAGGGAAGGGGCCTCACTTGAAGTTGGAGTGTGCTCATTTCCTTCTCTCTTCTCTCTGTGACCTTTTTTACTCCCCAGTAGGCAGCTTCTTGCTCCCAGCAGCCCCCTGCAGGCGGATTCCTGTGGACCAGCTCCAGCCCACTGGCACCCCAGCCCTGCAGAACTCTGCTGCGCGGGGGCTCTGCCTCAGCCTCACCAGTGAAGAGGGCCTTTCGCACATACTCTCCTTAGCCTCGCAGGTAGGAACTGCTCCCTGCACTTGTTGTGCCTTGAAGCCTTAGGGTTCTCCTTTATCCCTTTTAGTAGTCAACCATCTTCTACAAATTAATAATTTTTTATATTGAATTATCCTGTTGATGTTGCTTGTGTATTTTCTGTCTGCTGATTGGGCCCTGACTGTTGTAACACTAACGATTCGTGTAATTTATTGTGTTGATTTTACATAAATAAGTAAACAATAAAATTAAATTTTAAGTGTACACCTTGGTTAGTTTTTCTGAAGTGAATATACAGTTTAAACATGACCCAGGTTGGGATATAGAACATTACCAGGTCCTCTTCCTCTTTAGGTCTTTGTCATTTTCTCCCCCAAATGGTGTCACCTATGTGACTTCTGCCATCACAGATTAGTTTTGATTATTATCACACTTACAAATGGAATCATACCGTATGTCTTGCATGTGGCTTCTTTTTCTCAACATAGTATTTGGAAAGTTCCTCCATTTTTACTATATCCATTTTCTGCTGATGGACATAGGAGTTTCCAGTTTTTGGCTATTGTGAATAAAGCTGCTATTATCAGTTTTGCACATGTCTCTTGCTGGACATATTTTCATTTCTCTTAGGTGTGTACATAGAAGAGGAATTGTTGGGTCAGATAGCAGCTACTGCCAAACAGATTTTCAAAGCAGCTGTGACAGTGTACAGTGTATGAGGAGTCTAGTTGCCCCATATCCTTATCAACACTTGGGATTGTCTGACTTTCCCAGTTGAGGTCTTCAAACACTTAATCATTCAATAGATCATTCAAGTGCTGTATAAATTCTCTATGTTGTGATAAAAGAAGAAAATCTTCCAAAGTCCTTTTATGAAGTGAGGATAATACTGATACCAGAGCAGTAGGAAAAAAAGAAAACTTGAAGACCAGTCTTATTTACGAGCATCAATTTTGTTTCTAAATAAGGTATCAGCACATAGAGTCCAGAAGCACAGTGTGAGAATTATAACCACAGCCAGGTATGATTTTTTAGGAATGGTTATCACATTAAATTGCCCTGTACAATATGTAGTATACCTGCGGAATTTAAGTCTTTTTTGTCTCAGCATTTTAAAAGATGGGTTATTGACCAAAAGTTTATTTATTAATGCATTGCCGTCGGGCCCCCCTTGCATCCAGTCCTTGAGCACTGATGTGGCTGTCAGTCGCCTGAGACCTGCTGAAGGTTATTGGGGATGACAGAAGGGAGGTCCTCACATTTTCTTCCCTAAGAAGACCCTGAAGGAAGGAGTTTCATTTAGGGACAACTTCAGAGATATTTTGTGTTGTAGTGGCCTCTTTCTTTTAGAGCCACAGAGTATATTTTAGCAACTTTTCATTCATCTGGAGTGGACCTAAGTGTGTGGGAGGTTTGAACCCAAGCACAAAGTTAATTCAAGCTAATTAATAATTCTTTCTTTTCTTTGTTTGCAAAGAAGCCAGTAATCTAGGACTTATATTGAACAACTTTATATGAACTGTTTGTACTTTTTTAACTTTTGGATTGGTATGTATTGAAGTTCCTCATACACTGAATTTCCCTAATGTGTATGAATGACTCATTAAAAGAAACAAAAATAGATAGCCATTTGAACAAAGCTGAATTCTGCCTCATATCTTATACCAGTATAAGTGTAGGTGTATCAAATTTTATAAGCAAAATACGAAACCATAAAATAACTAAGAGAAAACATGGGAGATACTTGAAAAAGGAATTTGGGAGAAGTCTTCGGAAGAATGACATTAAATCCAAAAGCTAAAAGTAAACAACACCAGAACACGAATACACTGGGAAGACTATTTACAATACAGTGAGCTAATTTCATTTACATGGAGTATGTGAGTAGTACCTAAATAAAAAACAAAAGATCACCAATAGTTCACAGGAAATGAAGTATAGATTTTATTTAGGAGTGTTTTCTTTTTCTCTGTGTGTGTGTGATTGGACAAGCTCATGGCATATGAAAAGACTTTTAGTTTTTGGTCCCTTGGTGATTATTAATAATAGGAACAGTAATTTTTTAATGTTTGAAACCATAAAATATTTCACAAAACAGAAAACTTTATCAAGCAAATATAGCCTTAATGAATTATAGGTACTTTATTACTGCCACCTATGTCAAGAAATAAAACTCTGCCCACCATGTGTTCCATCTTAATCACACTTTCTTATGCTTCCCCGAAATGACTAATATCACGTATGATAATAATTTCCTTTTCTTTATAGTTTTGTCACTTAAAAATCTACACCTAAATATGTAGTTTAGATTTGCCTGATTTTGTTTTGTTACAGGTAACGTTGCTTTAAGTCTTTTAAAATCTGGCTTTCTCCTTGCTCCTTTTTTTCCCCTTTATTTATTGAAGAAATGGGATTATAGGTACTTTGGGTATCCCACAGTTAGGATTTTGCTGATTGCATTCCTGTGTTATGGTTTATCATGTTCTTGTTTTCTTGATACCCTGTGAATTAGTTGGCTTGATCAGAGTTAGGGTCTATTTATTTATTTTTTATTTCTTTTTTGGTAGGATTACTTCATGGGTTGTGGCATATTCTTTTTTATCAGGGGGCATATAATGTCTGGATGCTGCTCATATTTTGATGTTAGTAGCTATCAGTGCTCAATGTCTGGGTTCATTAATTCACTAGTAAGTGGAAATGGTATTAACCTAAAACCAGTCTTCTCATTTCTTAGCTGAAATTTTTCTATCAGGAGAAATGTCTCTTCATCTTGTAGTTGGTTACCCAGTGGTACAATCCATATACGAAAGGAAAAATGCTTGATTCTTTTTCTTTGTTTACCAGTTTCCAGAATTGAGTGGTTTCTTATTGTCCTCAAAGAGGACCGTTTAGGTTTTTCTTACTATTAAACCCTCTTGGAATTTCCCCTTTTATGTGTTTTAATCCATTGTAGTTATTATCTTTATTGACTTAAATTGGCCTATCTTTGGATAGTGGAAACGTCTTCCAAGCTGGCCTCTTAGACCTATTTGACATAATTATAGTTTCCTTGACATCTAGAAATGGAAGATGTTCCAAGTTTATCTTGTACATTTCCAGCTCCAGACTAGAGTCAATCATTTATTCAAGGAACCTGGTTTCTTTCGACAGGCAGTGGTATTTCAGAATTACAGTTTGTGTAAAGGATGCCCATTGCTGCCAGTGTTGTTATTAGTTCTGAGCTTCTTTGTGAATGGGTCTAGGAAATCGCTGTATGTGCATGTGTATGTGTGTGTAGGTATGCATATGCTCTTTGTAAGACTTAAAAAACCTTCTGAACTAAAAATATTTGCAAATACATTTTTAACCTTGCCTTTTCTTTCATCTCTATCCCCTTTCTTACATATTTGAATTCTGATTTTTAAGGATACAAGGGGATGGTAGAATTAAAGTATCACTAATTACTAATTTGCATTATTCCACATTTATGCCTATAGTTAGCCTTAGTTAACAAACCAATATCACAATATGATTACTGAAAAAGTTGCTTTTTTTTACATATATTCTCCCATTTTTTACAGTTGTGTTATGTGTACATTGTCAGAACACACACCCTTTATATATTCTGTTTTCTCCTTTATAACCCTTGTTGAGTCTTGGGTCTACAAATATCTATTTACTTCTCCCCATCAGTTCTGATTGTGATGTTTCTTTAGTCATTTTGGATATCTGAGGCTTGTTCTGTAGTACATTTTTATTTCCTTTTTCCATGTTGATAACACTTTCAAGTCTTTATACTTAAAATTTAACTGAGTATAAAATCTTTGGTTNGTGAAGATTCTTTGTCTTCAGATTTCATCCAGTAAAAATATATAAGAAAATACTGAAAATTCTGTAGACAAGCCCATTTTTAGAAACTTGCAAATGGTATATATATTTTTAATTTTGGTATCATTAATCTACAATTACATGAACAATATAACATTTACTAGATTCCCCCTATCATGAAGTCCCCTCCACATACACCATTACGGTCACTGTCCATCAGCATAGTAAGATGCTATAAAATCACTAATCGTCTTCTGTGTGTCGTACAGCCCTCCCATGACCCCCTCACATCATGTCTGCTAATCACCCTTTTTTTCCGCTTATATCCCTCCCTTCCCACCCATCCTCCCCAGTCCTTTTCCCTTTGGTAACTGTTAGTCCATTCTTGGGTTCTGTGAGTCTGCTGATTGTTTTGTTCCTTCACTTTTCTTCTTTGTTCTTATATTCCACAGGTGAGTGAAATTATTTTATACTTGTCTTTTTCTGCCTGGCTTATTTCAGTGAGCATGATACCCTCTAGCTCCATCCATGTTGTTGCAAATGGTAGGCTCTGTTTTCTTCTTATGGCTGAATCATATTCCATTGTGCATACATACCACATCTTCTTTATCAATTCACCAATGATGGACACTTAGGTTGCTTCCATTTCTTGGCTACTGTAAGTAGCGCTGCAATAAACATTGGGGTGCATATGTGTTAGGATAAATTCCTAGGAGTGGAATTCCTTGGTCAAATGGTATTTCTATTTTGAGTTTTTTGAGGAACCTCCATAATGCTTTCCACAAAGATTGAACTAATTCACATTCCCAACAGCCGTGTAGAAGGGTTCCCCTTTCTCCACATCCTCACCAACACTTGTTGTGGTTTGTCTTTTAGATAGTGGCCATCCTTACTGGTATAAGGTGATATCTCATTGTGGTTTTAATTTGCATTTCTCTGATGACTAGTGATGTGGAGCATCTTTTCATGTGCCTGTTGGCCATCAGAATTTCTTCTTTGGAGAAGTGTCTGTTCGGATCCTCTGCCGATGTTTTAATTGGATTATTTCCTTTTTGTTTGTTGAGGTGCATGAGCTCTTTATATATTTTGGATGTCAACCCTTTATCAGATATGTCATTTATGAATATATTCTCCCATACTGTAGGATGCCTTTTTGTTCTATTGATGGTGTCCTTTGCTGTACAGAACTGTTTCAGCTTGATATAGTACCTCTTGTTCATTTTTGCTTTTGTTTCTCTTGCCCGGGGAGATATGGTCATGAAGAAGTTACTCATGTTTATGTCTAAGAGACGTATGTTTTTTTCTAAGAGTTTTATGGTTTCATGACTTACATTCAGGTCTTTGATCCATTTCGAATTTACTATTGTGTATGGGGTTAGACAGTGATCCAGTTTCATTCTCTTACATGTAACTGTCCAGTTTTGCCAGCACCATCTGTTGAAGAGACTGTCATTTCCCCATTGTATGTCCATGGCTCCTTTATTGAATATTAATTGACCATATATGTTAGGGTTAATGTTTGGAGTCTCTATTCTGTTCCACTGGTCTGTGGCTCTGTTCTTGTGCCAGTACCAAATTGTCTTGATTACTGTGGCTTTGTAGTGGAGCTTGAAGTTGGGGAGTGAAATCCCCCCCACTTTATTCTTCCTTCTCAGGACTGTGGTTCTTGTTTTTTGAGTCTTAAGTTTATGTTACTTACTTTTGTTCTGGCATAAAATCTTCTTGTCAGAGTGACAGACAATCTGATTTTATTTAACTTATAAAAATATCTTTTTTGGGGCCTGGATACTCAAAGAATATTTTCTTTTACTATTGAGTTCAGTAATTTTGCTAGGCTGTGTCTTTGTGTTGGTCGTCATGGGTTGATTTTTCTTAAGTATGTAGTGTGGCCTTTTATAATTTCCCTTTTTTCTGTAAGTTCAGGAAAGTCTTTTGAAATAAAGCATTTTTAGTACTCTGTTCTCTTGCTTGATTTTCTTTGTTATATGTATACCGGTTTTTCTTTTCCTGTGTTCTTAATTTATGATTTTTTTTTTCTAGAAACATTTATCTTTTTTCCCCAATTTGATTAAAAAAATTTTTCCTTTCTGCTTCTCTTAAGTCATTTAAACATTTTATTCCATTTGGTGTTCCTTCTGGTTCAGTCATTTCTGAAATGTTTTTGACTTGTATTTCTAATCATTTCTGTTATCACTTGGCTTCTAAGTTTTCTAATTCTGATTTACACTAGTCTTTATAAAACTTTTTAGCTTTATTTGAAATAAAGCTGGTTTGTAGCTCTCAGCTTTTTAGGAGGCATGTATTCTGTGTTTTTCTGATGATATATATGTTTTTTTAAATAGCAACTTGCATGAGATTAGGCTTTGATCCTTTTGTGTTGCTGACTTATATGCAATTCATTTTCCTTTATTTGTAAATAGTTGTAGATGGTGTGGTTCAGGTCTACTTTATGTCATTCTCTAGAGCTGCTTCCTCCTCTTCTTTTTTTTTTATTGTAAGTGTGCCAAAATATGGAGGTTAATTCATAGATCTTTTATTTCAGTCCTCTTTTTTATTCCTTTGTATTATCCTTCTGATACTCATTCTAGATTCCATTCCTGTCAGTTTCTCCTCAGCATTAGGCCTCGCCTTAGGAGGGATCTTTGGCTCATTTGTTTTGAAAGCTGTGGAGTCCAGCCCTCTCCAGCCTCTTCAGACCTTGCTCCAGACCCCTTCCGCTCTGCCGCTGTTGGAGTGCGCACAGCCCTTCCTGGAGTCAGCTGCTGCTCTCACAGCTGTCTCTGTGCTTGTGAGGAGTACCTGCTCGCGGTTTTGGGGTTCGTGGATTTCCTGCTTCTTCCTTTCCAGTGGCTGGTACTGCACAGACCAGCTTGCTGTCTGTGGTGTCTGCACCCACTCACTTTTTGGCATTTGTGGACATAGGGATACTGTTGCCTTGCTTTGTCGTAGATGTCATCCATGGGCTTTGAATTTTGCTTTCCAGTTGTCTTGTCTGGTTTTATGGGGGAAATTTGGGGGAGATTCAACAGTTGCTGCTGCCCACTGTCTTCAGTAGCAGTGAACCTTCAGAAGCAATGGTTTGCCCAGGTGTGCAGCAGACTGACAGCAGAGACTGCCAGTTTGTGGAACTGCTTTTAGGAGAGAAAGTCACCCAAGCCTTCATTGGTTATTACAATTGGGCTGTAGGAATAAAAGTGAACAGCTTAATTTGAAGGCAAAACACTTTGTTGCACAATTTATATCAAGTAGAAGTTGAGGTAGAATATTTTTTTTGAAATGTGGTATTCACTTTTAAAAGAGAATTCCAGAAAACATGAAAGAAAGATAGTCTAGTTATTGTTTTGAGTTACAGAAAGAGAAATAAAGTTTCTAACTCATTTTAAATTGCCTTTATAAGGAAGTCATCAAGTAGGAGGTTATTCTGATGATTTGGTAAAGTTGGATGAAATATGGAAGGTATCCATTTTAATATTTGGAAGTAGTGTGTGTCTTAGTTATTTCTTCTTTTAATTTTTAAAATTTTGCTATCATTAATGCACAATTACATTAACAACATTATGGTTATTAGACTCCCCCTATTAGGTCCCCCCCCCACCGTTCCCCATTACAGTCACTGTCCATCAGCATAGTAAGATGCTATAGAACTAGTAGTCTTCTCTGTGTTATACTGCCTTCCCCGTGTCACCTTGCCTACACTATACGTGCTAATCGTAATGCCCCTTTTCTCCCCCTTATCCCCCCCTTCCCACCTGTCTTCCCCAAATCCTTTCCCTTTGGTAACTGTTAGTCCATTCCTGAGTTCTGTGAGTCTGCTGCTGTTTTGTTCCTTTAGTTTTTGCTTTGTTCTTAATACTCCACAGATGAGTGAAATCATTTGATACTTGTCTTTCTCTGCCTGGCTTATTTCACTGAGCATAATACCCTCTAGCTCCGTCCATGTTGTTGCAAATGGTAGGATTTGTTTTCTTCTTATGGCTAAATAACTTAGTTACTTCTTTTACTCAATCTACTACCTAGCTATAGAAGTTACCTTTTTTTGGTGTTTTGAGTTTGGGCTGTCATGGTTTTTGTGACGTTCCATTCAGGAAGATTTTACAATGATTAAAAACACACTAAATGAATTAATTGATGAAGAGATAACAGCCACATTAATTTATTTTGTTAACTTAGATAAGATTTAGACAATGAAGATGCATCAGCTTTGTGTAGGAAAAAATTAAATTTAAAGACCTATAAATTAACAAAGAGAATTTGCATATCTGGGCTTTGTATATGTGGAATGATAGTGGGTGGCTGTTTGCTAAAAAAATTCCAATCTAATGTAGTGTGTATGTACAGTTGACCCTTGAACAACATGGGTTTGAACTATGCAGGTCTACTTATATGTGGATTTTTTTCAATAAATATATTGGAAAATTTTTTAGAGATCTGTGACAGTTTGAAAAAACATTTTCTTTTCTCTAGCTTTATTGTAAGAATATATATAATACATATACAAAATATGTGTTAATTGATTGTTTATGTTATCTGTAAGGCTTCTAGTTAGCAGTAGGCTATCAGTGTAGAGTTTTTGGGGAATCAAAAGTTACATGGAATTTTGACTCTGCAGGAGTCAGTGCCCCTAACCTCTGCATTGTTCAAGGGTCAACTGTATTTAGAATATCTAGGTTTAAATCCAAATTACTCTTGTAATGTAAATGTTCGTGTTTAATAGACATGTTTCATCTGAATAGCCATGTCAAGTGTTGTAGACTATCTTAAACCCTCATCACCCTCTCCTTTTTACTTTATCTCTAATACAGTTTAGGGAACTATTAAGTTCTAAAAAGCATTTGTCTAAATTTTTTTCAAGTAATAGTTGTAGGACTGAGAGTTTGAAATCTCCCCCTACCCCCACTGGGTTCCTTCACTCAGTGAAGTAAGTTAAGTCTGAGGGCACTTAAAGCTCAGAGAGAAGTGACGATCAAGATCACCCAACTAACTGATGGTATGTAGACTGGAATCTAGGTGTTTTGATTTTAGCCTAGTTCTCTTTTCACAGTAAACTCTGCTTTCCCTGAATGTTACATTAAACTTACCTGTTAGTGAGAAAAGTAAATAGAGATTCTCTCACAAAGGATAGTTGGCGAGAAAGGAAGCATAGGAATGCTGGTTTGCCGTTTCTGTGAACCCAAATGGCTGAACAGCTACTTTCTCCTTGTCACTCTTCTGAAAGGTTTGCTCCTTCATTTCAGTGACTTTTGTAATTTTGGGGCATGTTCGTGAGGCTTTGGAGCCAGGGGGTCCTCAGTGCAGATTTCTATTGTTCTGCTGCTTACTAGATACATAACCTTGGACAGATTGCTTAACTTTGCTGAGCCTTAATTTCTTTATCTGTAAAACTGGGGATGGTGATGTAATCTTCACAGTTGTGAGGATGGATGGGCACCTTTGTGTAAAGCATCTACTCTCATGCCACAAATACTTTTTCCTTTTCCCCTCCTGTTAATTATCTTGTGTTTTCAATCTCTTCTGTGCTCTTACTGTGTCAGTATATACCTGTATAAGCTCATTGCATCACTATAAATGTGTATTATATTTGGATGTACCTTCCCCCTCAACTTCATAGAGTGATTCTCTTTTTGTTGTTAAATAGCATTTTAGTCACAGATATTATACCGCTAGTGTAAAAATAAATATTCTCTTGAAAGTAATTGCATAGATCATTTTATTTGTTTCCTCTCCAAAGTTGAGATAACCAAATAGGATTAGAGCAATTATAAATCAGAATCAATAGATGTCCTTTATTTACGTTTTAGAGTAAGTAGCAATTTGAACACCGTCTTTGTGCACAGAAGCTTTCCTTTGTGAAAATGTTTTCAATACTTCTAGGATTATAATTCTGGGTGTTGCTTTGTTTAAATTATAGTGAAAATGCCTCGTGTAAAAGCAGCTCAAGCTGGAAGACAGGGTCCTACAAGGAGACGTCTTGCAGAACAGTTTGCAGTTGGGGAGATAATCACTGACATGACAAAAAAGGAATGGAAACTAGGATTACCCATTGGCCAAGGTGGCTTTGGATGTATATATCTTGGTAAGTGTATGACTACTTCTGATTGTCAATCCAAAGATTTATATGCTTTCTTATCAAAATGGTTTCTCAGTTATGAGCTTTTATGGGATCCTCTTAATAATCTACAATTTGATTTGTATAGGAGTGGAAATTGATTTAATCAATTGAAAAAGAAGATAAATATCTGTAATACTGTCATTAGCACTGTGGCTTTAGATATTTAAGATGTTCTGTATAATTTAATTTCTTTTGAGACCCTAAGAAAACTGAGTGTCTTTCTTTCCAACCTCACCCAGTTAGGATTTATTCCCTCTGTTATGGTTTTATTTGATCACTTTCAGAACTTTAACAGGTGTGGATTATTTTTTCCTTCTGTACAACCCTCATATTCATCATAGTGGAATTAAGAAAATGACCTAGAAATTATATTTAGGCCTGATTAAATGTGCTATTAATTGATATACTTACCCTGAAGTTTTGGGGGACCCTTTTTGGGTCCCCTGAGATTCTGTAGTTTAAGTACATTGTTGACTTAAAAAATATTTTACCTGATTACTTCTAAGTCAGTTAAAATCAGGCTCCTTCATTAAGAATATTAATAGTGATACAGTGCGTTTCATGTTTACTTTGGATACTTCTCTCTACCTTTTCCATTATATGTTCCTACTCCACTTCAAATATCAATTTAATCAGGTAATTATTTAATTATTGAATTTCTGCTGTGAGGTTTATAAAGTTTTATTTTTAGTAGTGGAACCCTTTTTCTTTAAGCAAAATCTTGCTCAGAATACTAATATTAGATACTAGATGAGCATCTTGTGGAAACTTGTTAGAACTGCAAAAACCCCAGAACTACAAATCAGAAACTGTTGGGAGAGGACCTGGCAGTGTGATTGGACAAGTCCTCCCAGTAATGCAGACGCATGTTAAAGTTGGAGAACCAGAGACATAGCTAACAGAGCAGCTGCTCTTACTCCAGGGGAGTTCAGCTCAACCTCCTCCAGGACCAATGGGCTATATAGTGGGTTAGCTGCAATCTCTAGAGTATGTTCATGAAATGTAGATTAGAAATCAGCACTTGACTGTATTTTGTAAAGATGATTCCTCTAGGTTAGTGGCACCTGCCTTTGGGGAATAGGTGTTGATCCTTTAGTTGTGTCAGAGCCAAACTCATTCCAATGAACTAGGCTGTCTCTGACTTAAGGGGAAAATCCTCATACATTATGAAAGGTTAGTAGCTATACTAGTTAGGTACATATTTTTTGACCTTGTGATTTAGAGGTGGTAGATTATACAAGCTGTTTCTATTACAGAATGTGTGGACTGAGAGCATCCCATGTTAGGAGTGGGAACTTGGCTTTAAGCAAGTAGGTTCCTCAAAAATTTTTTCATTAGTTAAATTTGTACTTTTGCATTTGTACCTTTGGCAGATTTACAGCTTGCTTTGCATTTGTGCTAGCTGTTTGTTTGTGTTTGTATTTAACATCAGAAAGTGCCATCTAATAGTAAGTATTTTTAATATTCAGTGGTTTGACAGATTTCTGTAATAAAATTTTGCTTCTGTAAAACCAGATTGATCAATCTGGAGAAGGAATTTGCCTCCAGGAATTCAGAGAAGGAATATTGGTGCCTCTAGTTTATCTCTCTGTGCCCACTGATACATCAAAACAGCCATATTCAAGATCATTAGCAATTTGTACTAATGAATTAAAAAGATTGCTTTTAAATTTTCTTTGGATATTTTCTGTAGCATGTGGTGCTATTTATCTTTTCTTTTCATAAAAATTGCTTCCATTGACCTTTATTATAACATGTTTCACCTCTAGCTTTCCCCTTACCTCTCTGGGTGTATGTAGTCATTTTTGTAGGTACGTCTGTTTTCTCTAGCTTCCCTTCCTTGGCTCACTTTGATTCTACATATT